ACGGCCTAGTCAAACAACCTCTATATATTAGATGATAGAAGACTTCTCTTGGGGTATTCTATTTTCAAGTTTTATTCCATCATAAATTGGAATTAAAATTAAGTTGCCTCTTTCAGGTAAAAGAGGATGATAAAATTTAATGATCACTAGAATATCAGGTGGAATCCACTTTACTGATCTGGCTTCCTTACTCTCTAGAGACCTCCTGATGTAGTAAATTGAAGTGTGCAAATCTAATGAGCTGAGAGCCTGCTTCACCCCAAGACATGCTGCTAACATTCATCTCTGCTGAGACTTCACATGGAATGTGAGGCTGGGAAGTCTCTTCAGCTCTTGAGAAAAGAGTGATTTTACTGAACTATTAATTGTCTTGCCTTCAAAATGGCAAATGGGGTGCCCCTCCACGCTCATGATCATGCATGCTTACTTTTGCTGATTCATTCCTTAGGATACCCACCCCTACTCCCATGTCTTAGAACAAACAGACACATAGTCATTTGCCTGAGTTCTACAGGGTGCATCCTCGGAAGACTATGTATGTAGATCTGGAATGTGATACATTCTAGTTTCTAGGTGGATAGTAATTCCACTGTAACCCTCAAGAGTCATCCCTAGGGACAGATAGGCTGTCACATGGCCTTCCAGCTTAATAAAACCTTAAACAGTCAATTCCAAATTGTCAGTTTTTTAAACTGAGGATTCTAAAAATATACATCACAGCTCCCAAGAAAATGAGCATTTCTGGGACAACTGCTCCAATTCATCTGTCTGGGAGGATAGAACCCACTTCCGCATTATATCCTTTTAAAAAGTAAGTTTGAAGGGACATTTAGCAGCTGCCCACTCCTTCAATTGTGCACTGAGAGAAAGCAGAAGCATTTGGTACCCTACAGTCCAGTGGACATGATTGATGGCAGAAGACTGGACAGACCAAGGCGGTCTGTCAGAAGCCCAGTCTCAGCCATGGTTGTTTAGCGGTGGGACTAGCTAGCTCCTGGGCCTGCTGAGATATTAATATACTATCTTGTTAGCTTCTGCCAGGGCATTTATTTCTGTGTGTCGATCACATTTCTGGTGGTTTCTCTTGCCCAGTTATCTCCAGCAATGTGCCTGCCAACTCTATATTACTATTCTCTATTATAAAACCCTCTAGATTAATATTTGTCAGGCTAGTTAAAAAAATAAAAACCGATAAATTCATTCCTTATTCTATTTTTTTTTCTCTTAACATTCTGTGCTGCCACAGACTGCTCCTAAGCGGGCAGCTCAAAGCAAAGGGTGGAGAAAATGTTATTCATTGTAAATTATTTGCCAGCATGCCATGGAAGTGAGAAAACTGAAAGCCAATACCTACCCCTCCAACTTTAAAATAGTTATAAAAGCAATCATCATCATCATCTTCTAATTCTTCAAACAGAAGATTCAAAACTATTTTGAAAAGTCAACTAAAACAAATTGAATGTCATAATGGGTCATCTGAAAGGTAGAATGTTATTATTAGTTAATGTATTTCAGGAAATAGCTCTGAGAAATATCTTCTGAAGATTTACATTACACTATATTCCAGTAAAGAATTGTGATAATTATGAACTGCACTGTAGCCGTCTAGCTGTCAAAAATATTTATCTCCACTGTCTGTGATAGCATTCCCTTCCTGCCATTTCATCCTTTCCTGCTACCTCTTCATACACTTGCCAAAGGTATGCCTGTACTGACCCTCACCTAGTACAGTTAATGGAGGATGGAGGCAGAACAGGAGTAGGAACAGAATGAAGGGAGGGCGAAGGGAAGAAAGAGGCAGGGAGGAAGAGGGGTGTGGGAGGAAACTGTGTGTCCTTGTCAGTGTTTTTAAATGGAAATGACAGAGTGAGTGTAGCTTTTTTCAGTGGGTGGGCCTTGAGGAGGTGAACAGGTAGTGTTTGTCTGTTCAATGTAGGGAAACTTGCCAGGAACTTATTATGTGCTCAGTAGTAGACACTTAGAAAATGAAAGGCACGAGAGTTGCATCACAGCATGACAGGACTAAGAGGACAGTAAATTTTAGTTCTGAGGCCAAATAGAGAACCAAATAGGATTCACAGATATAAGAAATATTTATTCTGTTCTAGTATCTATTTTCCCCTTGATATAAAACACAGTGAGCTTCATGATACTTTGTTCTCGTGAAGTTTGTCACATTAGGTCTTGAGCAACTTAACAGATTTATGACTTTATCCATGATATGAATATTAGTATTTCCTGCGATCTGGCCAAGACTTTCATTTTTCTTTTTCCACATTCCTGGGACTGTTACGTCACCTGAACACTGTGGACAACAGAATCAGTGACATCCAGTTCTGCATGCTCACGTAGCCCTTCTGAGTTGTAGACTCAGGATCATCCCACGAATACACCCTGCTGCTGGGCACTTCAACACATCACCTAAAATAATCAGCTACTTTCTGACAATCACTAGCGAACATGACCATACACAAAGTGGCCTCAACAAGGAAGCCACAGACTTCTCTTCATACCTTTTTACTTCCTAAATGCTAATCCGATTTTTTCTCTTTTCTTTTTCCTTATCTTTTTTATCTCTATCTTCCTTTCTTCCCTTCCTTCTCTACAATCCTAACATATACTAGGATACCTCCACCCTTCCTCAGACAGGCTGCTGTCACCCAATACAAGATAACACCATCTCTTGGGAAGATTCTCATAAATCCTAAGTGGAGTGGCCTTCTTGCATTCAACCTTTTCAACTTTAAAGTCAAGATACAAATTCCATCATAATGGACCATTTGCAGTCCCCAAAACCTGGGAGTGTGCCCTTCTACCTCAGCCTTCCCAGCACCTGAAGTTTTCCCTAAACATCCCTGGATAACTCTTAGTGAGCACTTAAACACTAGCTTTAGTAAGCTACTCAGGTCATCACCTCTGCATGCTCAAGTTACCGACTTTCACTTTATCCCCCCAGCCCCCATAATACATACACAGCTTATCTAACTACCTAGCACCCAGAAGTGTTATGTACTAATATATTACCATTCACTGAATATTTGTTCAATGAGTCTTTATAGATACTGATTATATACAAGAACATAGAAAGCACAGCAGCCTTTAGGAAAGTAATGTTAAATGCAGACTGTCTGTGATACATAAGTAAGAAATGAGAGTAAGTTGCTATTAAATAATTCTCTCTTCTGGGCTAGTCGACTCCAAACCAAACACTTCGGGGAGACAGTTCTATGACTTCGTATCACAGGTAAGACCAAGTTGACTGAGCTACCTGAGGTTTACCCAGTGGCTCGGAGGCAAAGCACAAACTCTTCCACTCTTTACTGCCAATAGTTTTTGGAAAACATTTCTTACCACAGAATTACTGAGTTAAGAAGTCAACTTCAGTGGCCCTCTCTAAATTCTCACCTATGGTATTTATACTGGAGGACAGAAACTCAGGGATATATAACCAACTTCCATGGGTGTCCCCTCTATTCTTTAACAGTTAAGACTTTTCTATGATGTGCTCTGAACTCTTGTCATTCTGAGGTGTCAGCTCTGTCTCTTTAAGTGGATAGAAGCAGATACTAAGTACCATAAAATGTAATAGCAATGCTTCACTCTCCTGCAGTAGGACATCATGTTGTACGACGTATATCTGTAAATGTCCATGGTTAGCTAGCTGGTTCATTTTTTGCCCTGGTGGACATACTGATAAGAGTGGCACTGACAATCAATAAATATCTGAGAAGGAACACAGGCACTACATCTAATGAGGTAACTGATTCTAAGATCAGTATGATGTGTTACTAATTTAAAAGTCTAGATATATCCAATAGATATGCTAACATGTGTTATTCTGGGACCAGTAGTAATTGTAACTCGGTGCTTTCTACAATAAACACCACTGATACTAATTTCAGGTGAGAAGATTTGCTATACACTTGATACTCTTCCTGGTCTCACTCCTGTTTGCTTTCTAAATCCTAATACAGTGTTGGAAATGTGAAGAAAAAAAATGATCTCTCCAAAACTATAGCTAACCCATGTCACCCTTACTACATGTGTAGTAGCTTATACTATCACAATGCTATGCTACCTGAGCATTTTCAGTTCAGTTACACGATTTTCTCTTCATGGATACATCATCAAATGAAGAACATCCAACTAAAACCTATTGCCTTTGTTTGCTATAGTCAACCTGGCCCATTCTTCATTTACCAGAAGCATACATAGTCACCCCTAAAACACTCACAGTAGCTCAATATTTTATCCTCCAGGCTAGCTTTACGGCTCAAGGACCACAAGATCTACAAATTTACAGTGCTTAATCTCCAACATGACGTTATGTGAACTGTTTCTGTCAGTGAGTAGGAGTGATTATATCTGAACTTAATGAAGACGGACAAGCGAGAGACCCACTGGTAAGTTAAGTCTATGGAAAATCAGGGAAGAACTTCTTTCTGATGCCGACTGAACAGCAATTGCTCAAGCCATGGAACAGTCAGTCAGAATTCTAACAGAACCTTTCTAACATAATTTTCCTTCCAAAAAATGTTTATACACCCATGGTAAGTTGAGGGTACAAGGTAAATCCTGCCTTCCATGGGTAAGTTAACACTGTTGGTTAATCACTGGTAGATGGTATCCATTCAATAAAATCAGTTTGACTTCCACTTGAAAATACATACTCTATAAATTCTCATCTGGCAACTCTACCTTCTGAGACCATGTTGTCTCCATCCTTAAATGCCCAGTTTACCCTGTACTGCACCAAGACATACAAGGTTTTCAAGAGTAGCCTACGGGTGGAGTGAAGCTGTCTGCCTTTTTTGACTGGTAAAGGCTCTTCTCTCAAAGACGACTAGGGGAAGCAAACTCAGTCTTCAACTTTAATGTTCCCATGTCGTTACTTGTCACCTCATGTGCAGTCGGAATATGATAATAAGAACAGATAATAGATCAGAGAAGCAAATATTTTTATCACATCAATACTTGTCCTATCTGAGAAGCGACTTTACCTGGAGAGTTTCCACTTCTTCATCTTTCCTTTGAGTCTCTTCCAGCAGACCTGTAATGAGAAAATAAACATCCATGAAAACATAATGTAAAAAATGGGCTTCTTCTTAAATCACATGCTTATTAAGGTATGAGAGAGAGTGTGGAAACAGTACCCTCTGCCCCTAGCTGAGGAGCTGTGTGAGTCCTCTTCATCCTGCCAACCCCAAGCCAGATGCAAAGCCCCGGGAATCCTCAGCTTTATAGGACATGAAAGAATCATCGGAATTCAGTTAGAAACCAAGAGAGCATAACCATATCGGAAGCATTTTATGCGATGACTATATAACCACCATGTAACACAAAATTCCTTAAAGAAAAATTTAAGAACAAGTCATTTTAAGATGAGCTCTCAAGCCAAGTCCCACCACTAAAGTATTTGGAACCAAACGAAAACACTCTATAGTGATGGGTGTTATTAATGGAAGCTGAATACCACATCAAGTGTAAAGTCACATAATTATTATTAATCATCATTTTATACTGAGAGAGTGGGATGTATCTCAGGTATATCTGACCAACAGCTTGGCATGGTCTCAGAAAAATGAATGGCTGGAAGGGAAAATAGTCAACTAAAGGAAGATGCATCTTCTTGCATGCATACAGCCACAGTTTCTCAGTCCCTTAATTTATGTACTTGCTATAAAGGAAAATATATTTGGCTGGCACAGCTCTCTGTCTCCAGCTACACCACTGTGCTAAAATCTTATTACATTTCACAAACCTAAAGAGGGCGTGGCTGAGTCAGAACATGGATATGATTGGCACAGATCACATTTAGCAGTGCATGTTAGAATAGTATTAGCACGACAGTAGGACGACAGTAGGACTGGTATACCTTACCAAGAGCTGGTGCTAAAGTAAAACATAACTGGAAGAGATCCAACATACATATCATAGAACAGACACAAACGTTTTAGCAAGTGCTAAACTAGATAGCAGCAGGAGGAAGCAACAGGAAGGAGACAAAGTAACACGTGTGTGTCATACCCTGCAGGTGTTGCTCTGAAACTGTAGGAGGCATCACTGTAGATGACAATGGATGGTAATGGTCCTTTGAGACTGTGCACTAAGAGAGCTACAGAGGTAAAAGGCAATTCCTGCAAGATGCAGCGTTGCACTGGGGAGTAATAGGCAGTTTCTGTTCCGTATTCTTTAAAGGAAATGACTGTGTCTCCAAAGGCCTACCCTAATCATGAGAATCAATGATAAAACAGCACAGTGCTGTTTGGGGCACATTTTCATTGGCATTTCAGGTTTCTTAGCAACAAGGTATAGAAACAAACTTGAGAGTGTTGGATTGCCAGCTGTCCTCAGCTCTCAACACTTCCTTCCACTTTACTCGGTTGCACTGGGATCTTCTTCCTGCATCCAAGCTAGTGTTATGATCTGATTCCATATTCAAAACCTCGGCGTTTACACATTTCTGGTTTTCATGAAACTGTCCTTACCATGTGAACAAGCTCTAGAAAACCTGTGAACGATAAGAGACCCGTGGCCCAGGATACTTCCTACTCCTGCCACCCTGAAGGCTGCTCCAGTAGGCAGCCAGTAAATGCCCAGAAGCAGAGCTGTCCAGCTGATCTGACAGTGGCTACAGATGACCCAGCCTGATGTTCAGCCGAGAGCACACAAACGGCTCAGCATAGCTCAGTACCACTCCAACTGAGAACTTAAGAACAGGATTATAAACAAGTTTTGCTAAGGCCTAGCTAGTGGTCATGGCTGAGAAACAAAACTCTCCTGCCAAAGCTTCCCAAAATCAAAGGAACTGATGATAAAGCAACATAGTGCTGTTTTCGGGTATATTTTGGAGAAGAGGTTTTATTGGCATTTCAGGTTGCTTGGCAACACAGTATGGAAACAAATAGGAATGAATCTAGGAGAATATATTATAAGACTTCCACAGAGGTGAAAGAACACAATACTGTCCCCACTGAGTGTGATTAGTACGCCTTGCCAAGATCAGTAATTTTGTTGTTTGTGCTGACAATAAATACATGAAACCATAACTAACCTCGGTAGTGTTAAAGGCATATCTGTAGCCTACATGAAACCATAACTAACCTCGGTAGTGTTAAAGGCATATCTGTAGCCTACATGAAACCATAACTAACCTCGGTAGTGTTAAAGGCATATCTGCAGCCTTGTTCTCCTGACGTATAATCTACCTAGCACAACGTGCACTCACTTGCACCATGCCGTACATAATTAGACTCTTCTGTTACTTAGTTTTGAAAGTGCACACATTTGCATTCCTACTTGCTTCAAGAATCTTCTCATAACAAAGTCTAGACTTCCCCATTTTTCTAAGAACTGCCTCTCTACCTTTGAAATTTAACTTAAACCCCCAAATTGCCCTATTCAGATACCTTTGTTGGGAATGAAGAGTGGGACTGTGAGCCTGTGTTGGTGAAGCCCAGCTCCTGATGATGGCTGAGTAGTAACATCCTACTGCCAACAGAAGGAAGCTAGGAGAATACAGAAAGACAGCCAACCTGCCAACGAGGTGAGGTACCCACTGGTGTGGCCAGTGCCCCTCGTCATGATGAGTGACGACACTTGTTCTCAGAAAGCACCCTTGCTCAGCCAGCACCCACAAGCTCTGCTTTGTTTTTTTATTCTAGTCACCAGGCACAGAGCTGCTGTGACTGAGCAGCTTCGATGGACACCACTTGATGAAAAGAATTTAGTGACAAGTAGAGCACCCTGAGCACCTCCCTTAGATTGGCACCGCTTTTTAAATTAACTTATGCTAACTCATTATGAGGCATAGTGTTTGTTCCTTGGGGGAAAAAAAAAAGCAGGAAATCATACACGGGCACCAAAGCCTCTGGTTTTGTTTGGTTCCACTTTGTGTTCTGAAGCACAGTCAGTTAGGGTCACACGACACAATGGTTTTGTACCACTGCCTTTGCAATCTTTGCAACCAGTCCCTTGGTATTTAAGGAAACTTGATACTGTATTAACTTAGTTACCGCATTTCTAGCTTCATAAAAGTAGGTAATATACTGGTTTTTAAAAGGTAAATTACATCGAGCTGTGGATTACCAACATGCCTACTAGGAACTTGACTCTTCTTTTAAGATGTTGGAGGTCAAGCTTAGAAATAACAATTTTCTCTTTATTGTTCACTATAAACATCTCTTTCTCTTCCTAACTCAGGGCAGCTGATGATACTGGGCAGAACACTTGAGATACATCAGCATTTACAGCAACAGTTTGGGGAGAAGAATATTGGCGTGTAGCCAGAAGCTTTAAGCTACTTGCTGCTGTACCCAGTTAGTCTGAAAGAGCTCAATTCCACATGCCTAGGTGTCCTGTCCTTTACTAAGAACAGTGGAGAATATAAAGTCTCGAAAGTTCAAGATTCAAAATTTAGTCTGTGTATCTTCCTTTGTGTATAGTACTAATGGTATAATGAAATCAAAGTAGCACATGGCATCTCACAAGGGACCATAAATGGCAGATGTAGCTACAGGTGTACTCTTGATAATCAAGACATTAGCTACCTACATGAGAAAATGGTCATTTTTTTTTCTTTTTATTTCTTTTTCCCTGGCTATCAAGCTATTGTAATTATTGACACTGTAAAATTAGAAGAAAGAGCAGAAATAATGAAAGCTCACTTTCTCTAAAGAAGTAGAATTCTATTTATAAGTGAAATACACATTGTCTAGTAAGCTAATAAATAATTTAAAAGGCTGACAGGAAGCTGCCTTGGGGAAACCTGAAGTAAGAGACATATGGGTCATCAAATAAGCTTTCCTCCTGTTTTGAGACAGACTCCCATAGTGTCATGATGGAAATAAATGCTTTAAATGACAGTAATTTAAGAACCTTTGATATATGCTAACATCTTACAGATGAGGACTGAGCTCCAAGACATCCAGTGCCCACAGATTGGGCCCATAACTTCTACTCTGCACCTTGATTTTCATGAAATAAGGACCACCCTCCTCTGCATCTCAAGACTTGCACTGAAGTCTTCTACCATTCCCTCTTCAACCACATATGCTTGCACAACGTCTGATTCTTCCACAAACTGAAAGAAAACTTCACTGATGTTTAACAATCTGGAAGAAGTCCACCTGTGCCTGAGCGTCTACACTGGTGGCTCTCATGTGACTGAAGGAAGGTAAACCTCAAACAGTTGAGAAAGCAGACATTTAGAATATTAGCATACAACAAAAGGAATACCTTAAAAACAATAAGGAAAAGTTGGGGATTTTTTTAAATGATCACTGAATAATTTTCCAGCTCAAAATGACACAGGCCAGCAAATATTTTTCCTATTTTATTATATTTCTCAAGGTAATAAGGTAAATATAGCCAAGTATATTTGGCTTTAAATTAATATTGTTAACCCTCTGGGTATCATATACCTGGATTAACCCAATCATAGTCTCAAAATAATCTTTTAAACTTATATATGCAATGACAATTTACCCAATCATAGTCTCAAAATAATCTTTTAAACTTATGTATGCAATGTCAATTTACAAATTTCTTCTCCCTTTGTCAATGTGCTCTAAAAAGATAGCTATTAACGTGTCATTTGCATTGTACTGGTTATTGTAAGTAATCTAGGCATGATTTCGAGTACATGAGGTAGTTATGTACATACTACACTGTTAATTACCTAGAGACACTTGCTGCCATAGATCTTGATAGCTATAGGAAGAATCCCCACTAGGGACCAAGAGACAAATACAGACACAAAACACTTAAAATACTGGCAGGTACATAATAAAAATTAGACATGTTATTTCTTTTAAAATTCACCCTAAGTATCCCTTGTGAAGTCAATAAAATGTGTAAAACGTATCAGCTGTAATTTTAAACAAACAAAACAAAGAGGACACTAAGTATGTCTTCAGACTCTACCTAAGACAGGAAGCTACATTCTTAAAACTCTGTCATATCTACTGCCACCAACTGGCTATCAGAAAACATGCCACAAGGAGATCAGCATTTCCTCATCAGACCTTAGCACAGAGAACACAGGTTAAA